ATACTACTATTATTCAATATTTATTTAAACCAACATTTATCCTTCAAAATAAAAGAAACAAATAAAAAAATTTTTAACCATTTTCTTTTGTCACTGTTCACATACGTACTGTACACGTGAACAATGTTACTATTCATGATGGGATTTAATATGTAGATAAAGTACACTATCAAGTCAAATTTATCAAAATAACTAATGGTTTTTATCACGTTACATTAAGGGGAGAGAAAAATTGAAAAGTATTATAAATTATTTAAAGTGCTATTTACCCTTTTTTTTTTTCAATTGAGTCTAATTTAACGTGTGATTATCCAAAACAACTTTTTCTCAAGCCTAAAATTCATGATTAAATACGAACTATCCAACGAGCCTAATGTCGATATGTAAAAACTCGTTCGATCAAACTCTAATTATATGACCCTAAATAAAATGAAAATTTTAAAAAATAACTGTTTCATTTTAATAATCGGTTAAAATATAAAAACAAATAAATCTTTCATTCTAAGATTTCGGGGCGTTACAAATTGCCTATATAATAAATGTTATTCCTAAAATTTATGGCACGTATGTTAATTTTGTCGCGTTTATACTTTTTGTAAGTCTCACAATACTATAACAATCAACTAATTATTTAATTGGTGGCCAAACAATTAAATAATACAATGTGTATACAAAACTGATAAAGAAACACAAGAAATGAACTGAATTGCTGGTCTTAAATTAAAACAAATAAACAATATGGTTCATTTTCATCCAATATAAAAACGAATCCAGTCTAGCATATTAATATATAAATTACAAGAAGAATAATAAGAAAATATCACCAGAATTATGAAATAATTCAAAAAATGTTGATCTCCAGTATAATTTGAATTCTTCAGAATCTTGACCTTCAATTCCTTAGTACGATTTGATTTCATCTATCAAAATATAACAATTAGCCCCTTATTCTTGATGAATTTGATAATATTATTGTTTATGAAGAAACATAGTCTCACAATGTTTTGGCCAAGTTTTGTATATATTTATAAAAGTCCAAAAATCAAGCAAAATAGATTGTGAAAGAATTAAATTAAAACAAGAATTTCAATAAAATAAGGAAATTGCAGCATCCGGTCCCTGAAGTAACGGTGCGTGTGCGCCGATGTGTCAGCCGCGTGCGCGCCGATTTGCCTGTAGCTTCCTGTTGATTAAGCCCCCGTTTGGCACCCATTTTTTTCTCATTCTCATTCTCATTATTTTTCTCTTTTTTCATTTTAACCACACATTCTATCAATAAAATAATATTACACATAAACCTAAAAATTCTCCTTACTTTGTAACCACACAATCTTCAATCAATCACTATTCCAAAAATTATTTTTCAAACAAAATGGGAGTTAAACAAGGGCTAATTATATTTTCT